GACTTTTCAGCTAGCGCGCATGTGTATTGACTGAGGTTCACCATGGTCTTCAGATCTGGTCCCTTGGATTGGTATGATTGTACGCGTGGACGGCTTGATAATGTGGATGCATGATGGACGCTAGCATTGAAACTACACATAAGCATTAATTGAAAAATAATATGGAAAGGGTGAGGGACCTGGGGCTCGAACCCAGGTCCCAGGGGTTACCACTAAGACGCTTGGACCAACTGCGCTGCTTTGTTTATCTGTAGATAATATAACCAACAATTAATACGAAAGAAAATAACGTTAGTGGAAACTTTTAGCGCGAAATTCAAACGAGCCACTTATGCCTTGACACTTCATCGTCTTCCCCGTTTTGCTTTTTTTTCCTGAAACAAAAACAGAATGGGCAACGGTTTTGAACCGTCCCCAAAAGCAACATTCTGAAAAATAGCGATTAGGCCGTCCGGCCACATAAATTAGGCGCGAGGGTTCCATTATTTTCGTCCAAGCGTGCTGAATCCATTCATGGCATTATGATATTCTAATTTTACCATATTCAAAAACGCCCAATTTGGAAGTTCTGCAACCCTAACCTATTTCCATGGTGAATCTCCTATTTTGGCACGAAAACTTAATCAAAGCACGCAGTTAGTTTCAGAAGCAATCAATTAGTAAGAATCCATAAGTAAAATGCCATGAGAATGCCTGAAAATCAAAATACGATTATGCATATTATATGAAAAAGTTTGGTTTCTGTATACCGATTCAAGGGGCTATGCGCGTGGAAAGCTATCCAGTCAGACTCAGTAATGTCCTAGGAAGGTAATGGAATGAATTTCTTGCCCTGAAAAGCCTTGCAAGTGTGTTTTCAGTTTTGGAATTTCTTCTTAAAAACTCAAACTTGGTTCTGTATCTATGGCGCAGCTGAGAGCTCTTATGCATTAGGGTTGCGCTATATATGTATGTGTGAAGGTTTTAGGGTTGAGAATTTGAACAAAAATCCATGAATTGAAGGAATCAATATTTGATTTTTATGCCATGATTTTCCAAATCTTTTTCATGCTATTTTGGCTTCAATCATATCCAATCACCTTTGATTCTTTCCTAACCTGATTTGCATGAAATTTTGAGATTATTTTATGCACAAAAAGATTCAAAAAGTTAGGTTTAGTATTTTTCACCTATTTATTTTAATTAAATGAATTATTAATGATTAAAAATCCAAATAAATAAATAAAAATGATAAAAAACTTCCCTTTGGGCCAAATGGTCGTGCACATGCCTTGGATGATGAATTGTGGAAGAAAAAGAGGCCCATTAGCATTTTTAGGTCATTTGAATCAATGTTGACTTTTCAAAATATCCAAAAATTTCCCAACTTCCACAAGGCATAACTTGCTCAATTTTTAAGCTTTGCTCATGTTCTTGGACATTTTGGAAAGTTCTTTGAGTCCTCTAACCAATTCCTTTGGTCCCATGTCATTTTGATTTACCAATCTCAAGTTATGGCCTTTGACTTAAAGTCCCTTTTTGTTGACTTTTGAAAATGACCTATAATGTTGAAATTGATAACTTTTTGTGAGAGCATTTCTTGGTCTTGAAGTATGAATAGGAGTTGTAGGAAATGTCTTTCTCTTCAAAATGAGCTTTGGATGGAATTTTTATGATAATCCATGTGGAAGTTATGCCCTGGTCAATTTACAGTTGACTTTTTCAACTGTCCAAATATGGAAACTTTTGCATCTTGATGATTTTTGAGCCAAGCTTTGAGAATCATGATCAAGCATTGATCAAATGATGTTTGTGTCTTCAAAATGAGATGTTGACCAAAAATTTGGACTTTTGACTGTCAAATGACCATTTTGCCCCTACAGTTGACTGTAGTGCAATTAGGGTTTTTGACTGTGCAATTTTGTGCTGTAAGTCTTGAAACTTGGTATGAGGATGCTTGACCATGTTTGTGGGCATGTGGGACTTGATTGGACCCTTGGAAACTTCATTTTCTTTGTCAGAACCAAAATCCTAATTTTGACTGTTAGGAGGTCCTTGAACTGTGCAACCCTTGGGGAGATTTTGAAGCTTTATCTTGGCAAATCCTGAAGAATATGGGAGGGCAAATTTTGGGGTACAACACCTAGGGTTGTGATTTCTTGTGAAAAAGGGAGGGCAAATTTTGGGGTACAACACTCATCGACTACAATTTCTCGCTTGAACACTAAGTCAAAGGATTTTTGCGACTCAGGTTTAATAAGATAATACATATCCTTTAAATCACGAACAGAATCCATGAATGTCTTGAACAACCTCTTGGGCTTCTTGAGGGAGACCCAACTATATCTCTCGTTTGATGTTTTCTGTTGCAGATGAAAGCAATAGAAAAATAGAGGGATCATGGCACCGAGCTCGAGGTATTAACACACGATCTAGGAAGCTCGAATAAAAGCGACCGTGTTTGGGTGAAGTTGGGAGGGCGTTAACTCCAGATGAATAAAAATCCCAACTTGAAAGTTACTGAAGGGCAGCCAAAGCCCCAATACTTTGAAACAAAACTCATACATGGGAAAACAGCTCCCCGGGTAGTACGAGCATATCCTCCCATTTTAGGTAGGGTGATAAGCTCCCCAATTCAACTCGAACTCTGGTTCACCCGCACCTTGTTCAAGAACCGTGAATGCATCATCCGGAGATTTGAAGAAGCACGAGGCTATGCCCCGAGGTTCCTCCCAAACCTAAATCAAGTCGGGATCAGTTACCGTGTCAACCAGTTGGACGCCCTCGACACTATGAGCCATCAAACTTGAAAAGCATAGGAAAATAGTAAATTCGACGATCAATCAAAACCACCATTCCACCGCAAATTAAGTGAAATGGCGTGGGAAGGCCAAGGACGCCATTCCCAGCCAAAGCCCTTTCATGACGACGAGAACAGAAATAATAAGGACACGGGGGCAACTGAAGGTTCGACTGAGCCACTGACAAACCACATGGACGAATCTCTCTGACACGTGAACTCCATTCAGAACTCATGAAGTTCATCAAGAATTCATGAAGTTCATCCAAAACTCATGAAGTTATTCAATAACTTATGAAGTTTACCCAAAACTCATGAAGTTCGTCAAGAACTTCATTAAGATCATCAAGAATTCATGAAGTTCATCGAGAACTTCACTAAGAACTTCATCAAGTTCATCCTTATTTAAACACTACCGCCAAACAAATAGTAAAAGGGAAGAATCATAGAAATATTTGCTTAATTAACATTGAGGATCAACGGTGGTTCAACAACAACATAAGCAAACCACGACGGCGACAGCGGAAAAGCTTTGCAGATCGGAAACACGATTGAGAAGAGGAGAGCGAAAAACTTTGAGGAATCAGTGAGTTATACAAAGATTCCTCAACTATCCACATCTATAGAATTTCTCTGCACGGGAAAGAATGACGATGCTTGGGGTAGCATGTCGCCATTCCAAAACCCTACTCCTAGGTCATAATGACCCTATGCATAGGCCATCATTACGCATTGAAAACTGTGGCGCATGGCTCGAGGGACGAGTCTTTTATCCTCCTAACTGATCGAACTTAACTGTTCGAATAAAAACAAAATCTTCGTATCCCTTTGTGGGCACATCCTCAGGGAAATCCACGAAGCGAGATTGCGAGCAGCATGGTAAGACTGTCGACCACGAGGCTGCATTTTACCTCATATGCGCGAAAAAAGCAGTGTCAGTCATAGGCAAGATATCATCTTTGCTCACACTAGCATGCAAGAAAAGAACCACCCATGGTGAACATCGCCATCACGAGCACACGATCGCGAGCATGAATGAATGCTCGCCTCAAGCAAATCCTCTTGTTCCTCCTCGACACACTGGTTGACACTAAGTCATTACTTCTTCGTCTAGGAGCAACGACTTGGGGGATCCTGTTCTGGACTAGGCCTGAGGCTGGCCCAACATCGGCCACTGCCCAGTTTGCCCCTACGTCGAGGATGGTCCAAATAATGACCCAAGCAGTGAAGGCCCAATCTGGAGCCATATTTCTCACGTGCCCCTCACTAGAGGACACGTCATCAACGTGTTCCGCACGCTTCGGAGCCGTTACGTCCTTCGTAACAGGCATGATCAACCCATTATATGTGACGTTCGGGACAGTTGATCCAGGATGATAAGCACATGCTGCTCATCCCCACTCAAATGAGAATTATGGCAACCATCTATTGTGGCCCTGGACATTCGGCCCATAATGGAGGCCATTGGCCCAGCTCTAGGGGCTTTATAAATACTCTCTCATACGGGAGAATTAGGTATTCATTATTCATTACTCTCACTCTTGCTTACCTCTCACTCTCTTTTGACTTTAACATCAGAGTGTATTGTAGGTAATCCCTTCCCCCATCCGAGGAGCATTTTGGACTAACGTACAATTGGACCGGGCACACTTCTTTTTTTAATCCCGGTAAGATCATTTTCCATAATATATTTAAAATATCTAACAAGAAAAACATCTTACATGAAGACCTTTGAGTCTATAATTAATCAATTGAGTTACTATGATAATTAATATGTTTCATAGCTCTATGTTCGATTAGCACAATACATTAACAAATTTTCTAACAACAAATTAGAATAACATAACTTTTTCACATAAGAAACTTCACTTTTTTTTCTTATTGAAGTTGAATGCTTGATAGTAATTTTTATAATAATTAATTATGTTTAATTCAAATAGACGAGTTTGTGGATAAAAAATTAAAAATCTAATATTTAAATTAATTATCATTGAATTTTATTAATTTTGATTCAATTCTTTTTCGAATTAAAAAAAACACCCAACTCAAATAGTATGATTTAGTTTGGAACAAACATTTGCTTCCAAAAGGCTGAAGCAGCCGCCCCGTTAACCATCAAAATCTAACTATCAAAGTTATAGATTCAAAACTGAAAAAAAAGGTTAGGTTCGTTATCTTTGAGACGAGGACAACGAGTTTGGTTTGATTCTGAAGTGTTTAGATGGAGACCAGCATGCTAGGGTTGGCTTCTTTCCCTTGCTACACGCCACCAAACCGTTCTCTTCCAAAGTTTCGGATATTATCTATGCGACAGCAATATCCCCTTGCAAGCAAAATCGTTGTTAAAAGTAAAACCGCTTTTTCTCTCACTTCTCTTTAAGGTTTATGCAATTTGGAAAAATGGTGTTACAGATTCATTAATTTTGTTGTTGAATCATTTCGTAGTTGGGAATAGTGAATATATTACACTAGGAGTTGAATTGGTGTGTTTCAAATGCAACATTTTTTTTGGCCTGCCAAAGCTAAATTTTACCAATCAATGTTTATTGTCAATAGGGTTGAATGTTATCATGTGATTTGGAAGGAAGATGGTTTTAACTTTGTTTGCTGGTTTGTTCCGGCATCCATTTATTGTTCTCTTCCTCATTGCCTCTCTATGTGGTTCTTCGTTAATCGGTTAGTTAGGCCTATGTAGGGTGTAACAAAGGACGGGTTGGGTGTGTCTCTCTCCCGGCCTTAACAGGCCCGGCCAATTCTTAAACCCAAAACGCTGCGAAATTCGATGAGGCGCGGGTTTAATAATGACCGGGCAATCTAAAGACAAGATCGGGCTGGTCTCAAGACTAGTCATCAACATTGAATATGCTACTCTCTGCTAAAGAGTGTCAGATGCTTTATCATAATGAAGGTGTGCACTGTGCTCTTTCTACTGGTCTGGGTAGCTATTTTTATTAAGAAAGTTCTATCTCTAACCATTGTTATCAATAGGAGTGTAGCAGTTAACCCTAAAATGCTATGATGAGATAGTAAGTAGCAGGGTGGCAGCACTTTTCAAATTTTGTAGAGTTAATATATTTTGTACTATGAGCACAAAATCTCAACAAACTACTATTATAGTCAGTGAGATGGTGAAAACTGATAGCAGGTTTGAGACAGGGAGAGAGGAGAATCCTGAACATTGTTCTGCTGTTTTGTAATTGCAAAATTCTTAAAATACCCCCAAGCAAAAAGCTCTAATGTCAAAAGTTTATTTTTTTTTTCCTTGAAATTTTTGTACTCATCTGAGGTCTGGCGCTATAGCAACCGCAACATTTGCTATTATGTTGCTACCGCTGCTAAACCAAACCGTTCTATACAGGTTTAGGTAATTCTTTTTCCTAAGAAGTAGAGGGGAACGGAATTCTTAAAAGATGCAAAGTGATTTAAGAGCCCTTTTATGGCAGTTTTATGTTGTCTTGTTCGTCTTATGTATGTTTGTTTTCCGTTTAGATGGATTCCTGATCCTTGGTCTTGCACGAGTGTATGATAATTGTAATGGTTTCTGGTATAATAATGGGAAAAAAAAATCATTTTGCAATGTGTATAATCGATAAAAGAAAATCCAAAGGTAATTGCCAAATCATTGGGATGGCCAATTGGCAATATTGCATTCTTCCTCTCTGGAACGATTGTTTTGTGCTGATTACATATTGAATTTTGACATCAATTGTCGTTCACTATCGTTTATGTTACGCACTTATGACTTCTAAATGTGTTCACTTCTAGTAACACACTTGATGAGTTTTGTTCCAAAGCACTAAGCATCCGTCCAGATATCCAAAACAAATGTACTTTTCTTATGTATTTATTATTAACATGATGTACATCACGAAACTGACTGCATTCTATGGAGCTTATAATATCTTTCTTTTACTATCCATACTTTTATAAAGTTCTACTTGCTCTTATTTGGAGACAGATTTACCTTATTTTACTGGTGAGAATACTCTGCAAAAGGAATTTTCTGATTTTGGCAAGATAGTTGAAGGTAATAAGTGCATGACTTTTTTTTCTTCTTCATATTTCATTATAATGTAGGAGTTAAATAATGTACATAACTTATTTTAGTATTTTGACTCACACATGTCATTTATTTTACGTACATTGCAGTTAAGATCGTAAAAGATGCGATCACAGAAAGATCGAAGGGATTTGCTTATATTCAGTACACAAGTCAAGATGATGCCATGCTTGCACTAGAAAACATGGATCAAAAGGTTCATATTTTGTCATTTGATTATCAACTTTGACAACTGAATGACTCTCTTATTAATGTTTTTATCATTCATTGTCTACAGAGTTTTCACGGCAGGAAAATCTCTGTAAAACTTGTAAAACTTCGTCCTTATGATATGAGTGGACCCTCACCAAGGGCCTCAGGGCCACCAAAGAAGTGGAATATACCGGAGAAGCAGGAAGAAGATGTAGTAGATTGCTGGTACTGATCAAATTTTAAATTTATAAAGCTGTAGAAGGGACAACGATGGAACAAGTGTATCAAGTTATATAAGGATTGATATAGGTTTGATGAAACATCAAATTCTAGAGTGTGTTTAAAATCACAGTGATAGTTTCATCTATGCGAGTTGCGTTTGATTAGCAGTCGACGACCTTTAACGCGGAAGCAAACACACTCTTAGTAATGCTAGGTTGTTCATGCTGATCTTTCACGTCTTTTTGTCTGTGAGTTTAGCACAATACGGGTTCTTTGAAACCAATTTTTTGGATAATTAATTTTGATATATTTCTATACTTCCTGCAGTATTGCATTTCAAGGTACATACAAGTAATGCCGATTTACGGCCTCAAAAATATTTACTGACAAAAATATTTATTGTGATTTGAGCAATGGGAATTTCTCATCGCACTCTTATATCTTTTTCCAGACTTCTGGTGAAATGTCAAAAATGCTTCCTGTTTTTGGATATACATTTTCAAACGCACCAATTCTTCATTTTACACTAAATTAAATTTAGAAATGCGTTTGCGAATGCTTTTTAGATGGGAGAACTGACTTGGTTGTTTTGCGTTTGATCGTAATTATTGTGGATAGCAAGAGTCGTCACTGACTTTTTTTTTATCCAATAAGGAAAGGGTGAAAAGAACAGGAAAAACCTTTTGAGATTATTCTTGAGTTCGGGGTAGGTTATGAAAAGGGAAGATGTTAGCATATTTTTCATCCGTAGTTATCTATGGGCTCTTAGTTGCTTGCTAGATCACTTGCTTTTTGTTTAAAAATGTGCTTTGTGGTGTGGGTTTGAAAATATTTTGAAAACGTCTTTGTAATGATTCTCGTCTCTATAAGAATGCGTACAAAGTGTTGATTTTGAAAATAGTTCAAAGAGGTGTTTGTAGTAGAAGATGTTTTTTGAAAGTGATTTTAAAAAGTGTCTTTGTAATGATTCTCGTCTCTATAAGAATGCGTACAAAGAGCTTTGACTTTTAAAAATGTTTTTTTTAGTTGTGAGCAAGCAACTATGAGCATCCTACCTACTCAAAAGGTCTAATGTTTTTTTCCTTCTCCTTTAAATGTTATCTTACCATTGATTTGATAAGAAGCCCCATCGTTGGATGTGAAGGGAAGGACGTGAGTTGTTTGTATAGTCATAGAAGGCAATCTATGAGGCGTTTTAGCAATTTTCGTTAGGGACTATATCGTTTACTGAATGCAACATCGAGGGTCATCGAGGGACAACGATCTTTTTTGTCGAGGGTCTTTGCTAAAACGTCCATATTCGAGGGACATGACTATTTTCTGAGACAACAAGTGAGATTATCCTAGAGGTGCATGTGTGAATAGTGTGTTTGATTGCATGCATTTAGTCTTTGATTAAGGTTGTCTACTTGTTGGTTTTATTTTGCCATACATCCTAATTACTAACATTTGTATAAAGCAATAAAAATGCAGAAAATAAATATCCTACACTATTACAACCATATTGAATATAAAGAAAAACATAAATAACATGAAAAGAGAGAAAAAACGAGTCCTTCGATCCAGGCAGTAGGCTCCTTCGATTCACCCTTCTTTTGCTTCTTTCGATTGGGACTGAGAACCAGTGTGGATCGAAGTCAGTAACCTTCGATTCACACACCTTTGTTTTCGTTTCCTTCCATTTGAGGTTAAATCACAACATAGGTTGAATGCTAATATTGTTTCACGATCTAGTTAGTTCTTAAGATATGTTTTAACATACAAAGAAAACAAGTCAGAAGGTTAGCAATAAAAACCAATGGACAAAATGGAAACAAAAACAAACCAAAAGGGTAATAATGATGCTTGAAACGAAAATAAATAATTATTTACATATTATGCTTGAAACGAAAAGAAATAATTATTTACATATTATGCTTGAAACGAGAGTTTTAAGGTTAAGGGGACTTACCTTGCTTGACACTGGAATGTATGTGTTGGACCTTGAGCTGCTGCCTTGGGTGCTCCTGGATTCGAAGGAAAGAAACAAGGGTGGTGTTTCTAGTGCTGGATTCGAAGGAAAGAATAAAGTGTTAGGTTGCTCCTGGATTCGAAAGGGAAAAGAAACAAATATTGTGTTTCTAGTGTTGGATTCGAAAGGACCAGAAACAAAGGATGCGGTCTTTTGATTTTGGGTTTGAGAGTGTGTTAAGTGTTTGATGATTTTCACACAATCAAAGTTTCTCCAGCTACCCCAAAAGTCCTCTAGATGTGTTGTCCAGCCCCCTAAGATGTGTTGTGGAATATCTTATTTATAGATGAAGTTGACTGAGGTTTAGGAAGGAAAACAAAATAAATTTGAACAAATTGGGTATGATGTTGTTGTAGTCTTCGAGGTGCAGTATTTGTATGCCAAATTGGTGCAAATATAGGAGCAGTGTAGCAGGACTGTTGTGCAGCAATTTTGGAGCATTGTGGCCAGCGTAGCAGGCTTGGACTTGGCAGCGCATTGGACTTTGGTCAACAAGCCTTCAGAATAGACTCATTAAGAGACCAAACATTAATTGTGTTCTTCGAATGGATCTTTTGCATGTTCCTTCGAATGCAACTGATTCATGTTCTTTGGATGGACCGCAAAATATGTCCTTTGAATGAGCCACCAAACATGTCCTTCAAATGGGACATCCAGGTATGTCTTGCATGTCCTTTAAATGGGCCACCATAGTGCAAAAACTATGTGTGTCGAAACAAACATTCCAAGGGAGATACTGCCATATCGAAGCAGGAATCAAGCTTGCTCAAAAGAAATCAAATGCCCAATTGAAGAAGGAATCAAGCTTGCATGCAGGTAGTCTTCAAGACAAACCTGCATAGGCCATTTCTCAATCAAAGCAGGCATGCAGGTAACCATTGCATTGTGAATCAAGCAAACATGTAAGGCTAATGGTGAAAACGAATCTTGTATACAGGAGGTCCCTGCCTTGTGAATTGAAGGCAAGCGTAGAGAATGCACTTGTCTTCTGAATCGAAGGGCACCAGTAGGAAGCCATCGACTTCTGAATCGAAGGGCACCAACAGGAGGCCCTTCCCTTTTGAATCGAAGGAGGCTACAAGAGGCTATTGCCATGTGCACCAAAAGCCAGCTTGTAAGGGGTCATTGATGTAATTGAAGCTTGCATGCAGGAGGTCCCTACTTGCCCAAACGAGGCTTGTATAAAGATAGGTGTTTCCCTTGTGAATCGAAAGCAAGTTGTTTCAAATGGAGACTTTTCCCAGTCAGAGCTAGCATGAAGATAGGCAATGCCTTATGGGTGTTAATATGAATGCTAGCTATAGGGAAGCTTTTTCCTTGTGTACGCTAGCATGGTGGGAACCCCTTGCTCTATGGATCAAAGCATGCAGGAAAGAGGTAATTGCTCAATCGAAGCATGTAAGCCAAGCTTGCATCGAAAGATGCCAAAAACTCAATCGAAGGATGTGAAATTGGAGCTGGCGTGCTCTTATTTGATTTGATGCTTGAAAGTCCGCTTGTACTTGTGCAAATTTGAACTTTTGAAAATACTTGTAAGGAAATGCCTTGAGAAATGAGAGGGCAAAATTTGGGGTACAACAATCACTACGCCAAAAATGATTTTTTGTATCACCTAATTTAATAGCACTTTTAAAAAAAATGCTATTAAAATGGAAAAAACACATTTATAATAGCACTTTTTAATCGGGCGCTATTATATAATACAGACTATGTAATTATGATAGCACTTTGTACCAGAACGCTATTATTAAACTTCTTTAAGATAGCATTTTGTATAAAACGCTATTATTTGACTACCTATATAATAGCATTTATTAAAAAGCGCTATGTTATATATAATAATGAATTAATTAATTAATTGATAAAAAAAAAACAAAACACATTTTCAGAAAAACAAAACACATTTTCAGAAAAACAAAACACGTTTCCCGCATCCACTCACCGCCAAAAACAAAAACACTATCTTCCTCTGCTTCCTTCTTAGCCATTGATTCTCCCAACTGATTCACCGCCGTCAAATCTTCCTCTGCTTCCTTCGGTTTTCATTGATTCACCGCCGTTAGTCATTGATTTACCACCGTCATCCCTTCCTTCGGTTTTCACCCGGATCCATTCTTCAGCCATCGGATTCACCATCGATTCAGATTCAGATTCACTTCTCAAACGACACTCAAACAGAAGGAGGAAACACCGAAAAGAAAGAACAACCAAATCTCATTCTCCGTCGAACTCAACCCTTTGTCATCTCACCTACGTCGTCGTCATCCCTCTCTTCATTTGTATCCGGTAATATTTCTTTTTTCAGTTTCTGCTATCCGTTGATTCTCTGTGTTGTTTGTGAGCGTTATGATGTCTTTGTGTTGACGGATATTTGTGATTTTGAGTAGCTGTAATGAGGGTTTGTGAGGTTAAGTTGCAGTTGTGAGGGTTCGTGAAATTTGAGTGATAAGGCTTGTGTTATTGATGTGTGCCTGAATGGTGAGAGATGAGCTGGTTATTGATGTGAGCAGTTGTGAGTAGTGGCATGAAGTGTAAGGTATTTGGCCATTGAATTAGTTTTAACTAAGGTCTATGTGTTGAAGTTGTGTGCAATTTTCAATTTCTAGTCCTAGTTAACCGTAAATATCAATGTTGAGAGAGATTACACGGTGGAAAGAGTTGTATTTGAGACCAGCCCATGAGTATGGTTTTGAATGAGAAGGAACTCATGTTGAGTTTATGAGAGGCGGAAGTGATATCTAGTGGGAATTGAATGATATAAGTGCTATGCCATCTGAGTTGAGTGCAGAAGAAAGAATGTAGACATGGAAGAAGGAAGAGAAGAGAGGAATGAAGTTTTATGGAGAGCAAAAAAGTCAGTACATTGGTTGAAGATGAGTTGAAAAGTTTGTTCTAGTTTGAGTGATAAGGCTTTTGTTGTTTTGGTGTGATTTAGTCACAATTAATCGATTCTTCTTTTCAATCCAAGCAAAAATTGGCATTTCGTTAATGTTGGATGT